CCAGTGAGCACATGAGAAATTAAGACTCCCAGGTTAATGTGCAGCACACAGTTCCGTGACATTGACCTACCTGCAGAAACTGCTTAAATGAGCGGGCGCAGCAGTCCTTAGCCTCTGGGGTGGCCGAGAGAGAGCTTGAATTTTTTTTCCACACATTTCAAAAGGCACATTTACATTTTAAGTGTGTGAGTAAATGGACCACGAAAGAAGAGAAAGTACAGTGGTGGAAAAGAAACCTCAAAAGCCTCTGGTTCTGAGAGACCAGAGCGATTCTGGTGGGGTCTGTACTAGTGAGATGCACTTGAGTGATAGTCCTCCCCCTTCCCCCAGGGCTAGAACATTCCTTGGTATCTGTTGGTTGTTGCCCATCCATCTCAACATATAAAGGGCACATCTATGGTGACTTCTAAAGTAGGACAGATCTGAGAGCACTCCTCTCTGTTCTCCATCTTCCCTTTGGGTGTGTGTATTGGCTATAAATGACACTTTATTAACTTATTTTCATTAAATATAATTCATAGTCCATAAAATATCCTGTTTAAATGTATAATTAAGGAGCTGGGCATAGTGGTTCACACTTATAATCTCCAGCACTTAGGAGGCTGAGGCAGAAATCACGAGTTTGAGGCCAGCCCGGTCTGCATAACAAGTTCAAAGGTATGAATGGGATACACAACGAGAACTGGTCTCAAAAAAAAATCAAAATTAATTTTTTAAAAGTATATAATTCAGTACTTTTAGTACATTTACAAGATGGTCTTCTCTTTGTTTTGTTTCCATTTAAAAAAAAATTTCTAGAGAAAGTGGATACCTTCAGTACTCACACATTGATCTAACATATATTTACAGGGCATTAAAAAATAAAATAAAAATCCCTGTCCTCAGAAAGTTTGTGTTCTATTGAAAAACCCAACAATGAGCAAATGAAATAAGTAAATTATAGAGAATGTCAGAGGTGATAAAGTGACATAGAAAAAAGACAGTAGAAAAAGAACAGGATATTATTGGTAGTGGGTCAGAGGGGGATTGAACTTTAAATTGTGTGTTAGGTATTATCTCATAAGAAGGTAACATTTAAGCAAAGATTTGAAAGAATAAGGAACAAGTCATGTGCTTATCTGGAGGAAGAGCACCTAGGCAGAGCAAACAGAGATAGGACAATAGTGCAAGGACCTGAAGAGAGAAGCATGCTCTAGAAGTGACTGAGGCTTACTAAGTGGCAGGGGGGAGGGAGGAGAGCGGAGGTCCAAAGAATAATGACAAATGAGCTCAGAAAGATAAGTGATGGCCAAATCAAGTAGGGTCTTGAGTCACCTGTACAGACTTTGACTTTTCTTCTCAGTAAGGTGGGGAGCCGCTTAGAGTTCTGAGCAGAGGAAGGCCATGAACTTTGAACAGGATTGTACTGGCTGCTGTGTAGACTGGAGAGAGTAAAGGAAGGACACAGAGGCTAACTGTAATAATCCAGGGGCATAAGGGTAGGGCCTGGACCAGGTGCAATGGCAAAGATGAAAAATAGTTCTGGATAGGGATGGTTATAAATATAGAGCCAACAGGTTTGGTTGATGGAGAGGACGTGGGTTGTGAGAGAAAGAAAAGTAAGGATGACTTGCAAGAAATCAGAAACGCTGAAAAATAACAGCTAATTGAGGGACTGGCTATGTGGGTCCAGTAGGGGAACTGGCATTGTGCAGTCATCCTATAGGATTCATCGTACAGATTTTTTGGTTTTTTGCATTACTGGGGATCAAACACAGAGCCTTGCCCCTGCTAGGCAAGTGCTCTACCACTGAATTATATCCCCAGCCCTTGTCTTTTGAGACACGGTCATGCTCTGTAGCCCATAGCTGACCTCAAACTTGAAACCCTCCTGCCTCTGCTTCCTGAATGCTGGGATTGCAGGTGTATACCACCATACCAAGCTTAGAAAAGTCAATATTTAGGCCTGAAGAGATACAAAATTGTAGACCAAAATATTATCACCTTATTTCTAAAGCATAATCCAGCTATTTAAGAAATAAATTGCTGAACAGATTACATGTATGTTTCTATTTCTACTTTGAAACTAAAGACTGTTCCTATGTATTTCTTAACCATGGTCAACGACCTTAATTGGAAATTAATATGCTGCAATTTTTGCTTGAAATTAACAAAGTGATCCAGTGCTGCTGGGAGTCTTTCTTCTCCTAATTTGTTTGTAATGAACCTTTCAGATACTAAACAGTTTTATTTTAAGTTCATCATATCAGATAAATTTAGCACTCCAATTATAATATAATACTGCTTTTTTTGTTAATGAACTTTTCATAACACCAAATCTAAATATTAGGTATAAGCTTGTACTGGACCTGGTTATGCCAGATTGTGCTTATCTCTTTCCAAATGTCCCATTCAATGATGTCACTTTAATGGCTTTAAACTCAGCCATTGGAGGAGGATTTGTACCACATAAAGTGGCAAACTACAAATCAGGGATTTTTTTATTTTAATTTTTTTTTTATTATTCATATGTGCATACAATGCTTGGGTCATTTCTCCCCCTGCCCCCACCCCCTCCCTTACCACCCACTCCACCCCCTCCCTCTCCCCCCACCCCCTCAATACCCAGCAGAAACTGTTTTGCCCTTATCTCTAATTTTGTTGAAGAAGAGTATAAGCAATAATAGGAAGGAACAAGGGTTTTTGCTGGTTAAGATAAGGATAGCTATACAGGGAGTTTGACTCACGTTAATTTCCTGTGCATGTGTGTTACCTTCTAGGTTGATTCTTCTTGAGCTAACCTTTTTCTCAAGTTCCTGGTCCCCTTTTCCCATTGGCCTCAGTTGCTTTTAAGGTACTGCTTTAGTTTCTCTGCATTGAGGGCAACAAATGCTAGCTAATTTTTTAGGTGTCTTACCTAAAATCAGGGATGTTTTATCCCAGAGAATGAGTTCACCAGCACATCCCTGGGCATAGCAGAGTATAGGGGTATGAATGTCAGCTTTGGGCCACACAGAAATGGCATTGGGTGAGGGGGATACAATGGGGAAGGAATGTTTTATTATCACTAACATTAACACTGCTAGCTCAGCCAGACATGGTGGTGTGCAACTGTAATCCCCACATTAGGAAGCTGAGGCAGGAGGATTGAGAGTGAGACCCTGCAGGTAGAAAGGGAGAGAGAGAAAAAAAAAAGAGAGAGAGAGAGATCAAGCAACAACAATAAAAAAAAACTTGCTAGCTCATAAGAGTAATAAAAAGCAGCCCAACTTTAATTCCTTAGATTCTCCACAGACAATGTCCACCTTCTCAGCTGTGCCCAGGGCTACTCCCACCTACTCCCACTTCCATTCCAATCACCCTTACTGCTTAGGAGCATGGAAGAATAGTTAACTTCTTTAAGTCTCAGTTGTCTCATCTGTTCAATGAAACCCACAAAGCTGCCATGCTATCTTATTATGAGGATTCGACACAATACAGAGTACACAGTCTATATTCAATTAATGGTGGTATTAGTGAACTTTTGAGGGTTTCATTATAGCTTATGAGAAGGGGGGATCCTCTTAAAGATCAACAACCTCTTCAACATCCATTGTGCTTTCCAATCCCTTGGTCTCTGTTGAATAGAAATCCTCCACATGGTGGCTTATCTTCCCACTCCTGCCTGCCCAAACTCTGTTCATTCTTCACAGTTGATCCAACAGCTTACCACCTCTATGAGGCTTTCTCTTATTCCCATGGTTGACATAATCTCTTTCTTTAAAAAAAATTCCTGGTCCCTTGGGGAATCTCTATCATCTCTCTAGACCCCAGGCATTAGACTCTGCATGTTAACAAGATTCCCAGGTGGCTACCATGTGCATTAAGAGAAGTCCTACTGTAAACTGCTGCATTTTGAACTTGCAGTGTTGGGATTATCTGATGAGTTTCTAAAAAGCTTAATACCTAGCTTCCCCTGCCCCACCACCAAGAGATCCTGATCCAGTTGGTCTGGGTGCATCCTGGGTACCAGTATTTTTTAAATTCCCAGATGATGCTAATATGCAGCAAGTATGAGAACCAATACTATATAAATTTCCCTCCCACTCTTCTAATGAGGCCTTTAAAGGTCCCTATGCCTTTTAATGTTGATCGTTTGTATCCACATATGTTTTCCTACTTTATTAAACTGTATGCTTTTAAGAGTGAGAACTGGTTTTTAATTCATTTTTGTCACCTTCTTCCTAATAATAAATATTTATTGAATGAATGATGACTAAATGATTTATCTGTATCTAAAAAATGTTCTCTCAAACAGGAACTAGAGAAAAGGTTAAGATCAAAAAGAATTAACCTAGAAGGTAAACACCCACACACAGGAAATCAATGTGAGTCAATGCCCTGTATTAGCTATCCTATATCTCAACCAGCAAAACCCCTTGTTCCTTCCTATTATTGCTTATACTCTCTTCATACAACAAAATTAGAGATAAGGGCAAAATAGTTTTCTGCTGGGTATTGCAGGGGGGGAGCGGGAGGGAGCGGAGTGGGTGGTAAGGGAGGGGTGGGGAGCAGGGGGGAGAAATGAAACCAAGCCTTGTATGCACACATGAATAATAAGAGAAAAATGAAAAAAAAAAAAAAAAAAGAAAAAAAAATAAACTTACCATTTTTTCCTTAAAAAAAAAAAAAAAAAAAAAAAAAAAAAAAAAAATGTTCTCTCAAACACTATAGTGTGGCTGTTTTCAAATTTGAAAGAGCTAATTGGATTTATTCTCATCAAAACTGTGGAGTTTTTCCCCTTCAGTTCTGAAGAATCAGAGAGACTGGTGACTAGAATGGGTTTTCTAACAGGAATGGATTCTTTGGGTATGCAGGCAGCCATCTAGGGCCATCTCCATGGGCTCCTTATAGAAAGCTAAAGCTTGGAATTCTGATTCAGAAGACAGTGCAAAGTGATGCAGCCTGCTTCCTTGTACTTCATGTGTCCAATCCAGACTCCTGGGCATGCAATAGAATAACTGTATTTTTTTTCCTCTCAGGGCGCCATTTGATATTATGGGGATTTGTTCTCACTATGAAGGCATCTGTTATTGAAAATGTTTCTTGGTAAGCACTTTTATATATGTATCTGGATACTCTTTTAAATTTTCCTAACGTTCCAAAGAATCTGGTCAAGAAAAGTTTTAAACACACCAGTATTTTCTAGTTTCATCGTGTTATATTTTCATCTAAATAAGCAAATATTTGAGATACTAAATATATTTATAATAGATTTCTGTATCAGAAATAGTATCAAACAAGCTGTACAAAACTACAAATCGGACATTACCTGAAACCTTTAAAAAGGGCTTCTGCCAGCATGGAAACAAGCTCAAATAATACAGTACAAAAAACTAACCTATGGAATGTGGAATAAACAATTGTTCCCAATCACCTACATCTGATAATGGACTAATATTCCAAATGAAAAAGAGAACTCTTCGAATACAACTAATAGCAAGACAAACAACCGGCGCAATTCTTTTCATAAAAATAGTGCAAAGGACCTAAATAGACTATAGTTTTGCAGACAGAAGATACAAAACGATGTTAACAAGATAATAAATTATAAGAAACAAGAAAGGCCAGGGCATTTTCTCGACTGTCCATAGATTTAAGGAGAGTTGGTGGCTCAGAGAGGCATCCTACAGTCGCTAGGCTAGCCAGTGGTGCAAAAAGTATACTCTGCACCTCCATAGTTCCACTACCCAAATCAAAAGATTAAGCATGGCGTGGGTCTATAGTGCGTGCACATATGAGGCATGATGCTTTCCCAGTCTATCGACGAGGTGAGTGCATTAATTAGGAGGACTGTATGTCCAGCGCGGGCTGGGCAAAAAAACACGGAATCCTACTTGAAAAATACATCAAAAAGGGCTGGAGAGAGTAAGTGATGGTGGTGTCGCTAGCAAATGACTGTTGAGGCCCTGAGTTCAAGATCCCTAGTATACACACAACACAAAAGATCAGGCATATTACTTAATCACACCAGGAAATAAAACAGCTCAAAATCTTGGTAGTGACGGATTAAGGCCTTTACATTTATATTAGAAATGTGAGATAATTTTACATTTATTAGAATGATGGATCAAAAAGGCAAAAGAATAGCAAGTGTTGGTGAGATATGGAGAAGAGAGAACCCTTGTACACTGATGGTAGAGATGTAACATAGTACACGCCATGTGGAAATTGTATAGCGATTTCTCAAAAAAAATAAAAATAAAACTACTATATAATCCAGCAATCTTACTTCTGATTATACACCCAAAGGAAATTAAATCAGCATTAGAAGAAAGATCTGCACTACCATGTTCACTGCAGCATTATTCACAATAGCCAAGATATGAAACCAACCCAGTGTCCATCCATGGGTGAATGAAAACAGCAAACATGATATATATGCCTACATATAGCTACAGTAATAATTGCATTTGTGACATGAATAAAATTAGAGCCACTATACTAAGTGAAATATTCCAGACACAGAAAGACAACTATCATATTACAAACTCCTGAAGAAAGAGATCAAGGAAGACTACAGATGATGGAAAGACCTCCCGTGCTCATGGATCAGTAGAATCAACATAGAAAAATGGCTATACTACCGAAAGCAATCTACATGTTTAATGCAATTCTCATCAAAATCCCAATGACATTCATCACAGAGATTGAAAAATCTACCCTAAAGTTCATTTGGAAACATAAGAGACCGCGAATAACCAAGGCAATACTCAGCAAAAAGAGCAATGCTGGAGGTGTCACAATACCCGACTTCAAACTATATTACAAAGTAATAGCAATAAAAACAGCATGGTACTGGCACAAAAACAGACATGAAGACCAGTGGAACAGAATAGAGGACCCGGATATGAATCCACACAACTATACCCACCTCATTTTTGATAAGTTGCCAAAAATAGACGATGGAGAAAAGACAGCCTCTTCAACAAATGTTGCTGGGAAAAATGGTTAACGGTCTGCAAGAAACTGAATCTAGATCCATGTCTATCACCCTATACTAGTATCAGCTCAAAATGGATCAAGGACCTAAATATCAGACCCAAAACTCTAAAGTTGCTACAGGAAGGAGCAGAAAACACTTGGAACAAATAGGTATAGGCAAAGATTTCCTCAATAGAACCCCAGCAGCCCAGCAACTAAGAGAAAGGATGAATAAATGGGACTTCATAAAATTAAAAAGCTCTGCACTGCAAAAGAAATTGTCTCTAAACTGAAAAGGCCATGCACAGAGTGGGAGAAAATATTTGCCAGTTATACATCAGACAAGGGACTGATAACCAGAATATACAGGGAACTTAAGAAACTAAACTCTCCTAAAATCAATGAACCAATTAAGAAATGGGCAACTGAACTAAATAAAACTTTTTCAAAAGAAGAAATTCAAATGGCCAAAAAACACACGAAAAAATGCTCACCATCTCTGGCCATAAAGGAAATGCAAATCAAAACCACACTAAGATTCCACCTCACTCCTGTTAGAATAGCCATCATCCAAAACACCACTAACAACAGGTGTTGGCAAGGATGTGAGGAAAAAGGAACGCTAATCCACTGCTGGTGGGAATGCAGCTGGTGCAACCACTCTGGAAAAAAATTTGGAGACTTCTTAAAAATCTAAACATAGACCTGCCATATGATCCAGCAATCCCACTCCTGGGGATATATCCAAAGGAATGCAACACAGGCTACTCCAAAGGCACCTGCACACCCATGTTTATTGCAGTGTTATTCACAATAGCCAAGTTATGGGAACAACCAAGATGCCCCACTATTGATGAATGGATCAAGAAAATGTGGTACTTGTACACAATGGAATTTTACTTAGCCATGAAGAAGAATGAAATCTTATCATTTGCAGGTAAATGGATGGAACTGGAGAACATCATTCTGAGTGAGGTCAGCCAGACTCAGAAGACCAAAAATCATATGTTCTCCCTCATATGTGGACTTTAGATCTAGGGCTAATGCAGCAATGTGGTTGGACTTGGATCATATGACAAGGGGAGAGCACATGTGGGAGATATAGGAATAGGTAGAAAACTCAGAACATGAAAGTGTTTGCTGTCCCCACTCCAGAGGAACTAATACAGAAACCTTAAAATGACAGAGGTTATCATGAGCAGGGGATCAGGAATCAATGTAAAGATCAGTTAGAGTTGAATCAACATGGGTCGTAACACATGGTTACATGAAAACACTGTTAGGAATCTCTCTGTATAGCTGTCCTTAACTAGCAAAAACGCTTTGTCTTCCTTATTATGCTTATGTCATTTCTTCAACAAAATTAGTGGTAAGGGCAGAACAGGACCTGCCTGGAACTGAGAGGGGGAGAGGGGCAGGGGGGAAAAATGACCCAAACAATGTATGCACATGTGAATAAATGAAAAAAAAAAGATTCTAAAAAAAAAGAATTTTTACAGTCACTGCCATAGAAGCAGATAGCAAAACAGTGGTTATCAGGGCCAGAGGGAAGGGAGAAATGGGAGGTGTTGGTTAGTTATAGGTCAAAAGTTCTGAGAGTTTAATGTATAACATATTGAGTATCTATAATGCTTATTCTTGTATTGTTTACTTGAAATTTGCTAAGTGAGTAGAACTATAATGTTCTCAGGAACACCTGTATGAAGTGATGGATATGTTAGTTAGGTTAATTTATTCATTTCACAAGGTACACATAGGTCAGTTACACCTTAATAAAACTGGGGAAATAATAAATCTCTCTACTGATGAAAAATGAAAGAAGACTCTTACTCATGAATTCCTCTAAGTCTTCACCTGTCTGCAACCTTGGCATCTCTCTCCTTTATCCTCTGGCCAGAACCATCTCCTTAAGTCCCCCATGACTGGCCCCCTGCTGGGTACTGTGACAGCCTCCCTGCCACAAATCTTTACTCCTCCCCTCAGTCTCCACTATACCCCTAATCATCTCCTTAAGGCCCCTGCATGATCATTTGACTTAAACTCCTCAGTATTTCCCCTCTTCCTTTGGGATGAAGTCTAAGTAAAATGCTCTGCTTGAGAGACCTTCATGATGCAACTCTGGCTGTCCTCCCCAGTTCTCATGTCTCACCACAGCCTCTGCCTTGGCACCGAACTTCTAATCTCCCTGAAAGCTGTGGCATTTCTAATTCCCAGGTTTTTGAACATGCTACTCCCTTTCCCAGAACATTCTTCCCCTCACTGTCACACACTCACATCTTCACCAACTCATTGGGTCCTCTAGGAAGCTTCTCTCTGTCCACCTCCATTAGATGGCCATCTTCTTTTTTTTTTTTTAAGTTTTTTTTCTTTTATTTATATGTGCATACAATGTTTGGGTCATTTCTTCCCCCTTCCCCCCACCCCTTCCTTTACTCCCCACCCCTCTCTCTCCTCGCCTACCCCCTCACTACCAGGCAAAAACTATTTTGCCCTTATCTCTAGTTTTGTTGAAGAGAGAGTATGAGCAATAATAGGAAGGACCAAGGGTTTTTGCTAGTTGAGATAAGGATAGCTATACAGGGAGTTGACTTGCATTGCTTGGTCATCTTCTTAATATGCTTTCTTGATGTCCTAGGAGTTACTCTCATCATGGTTGCATTTTTGTCTCAACATTAATCCATCCTCTAAAATCTGTAAAACCATTGAGGATAGGCACTGTGTCTTACTCATTGTAACTCCAGTGTTCCCACATATCATAGGCACTCAAATGATTGTCATTAGTGATGCCAGATTTTTAAGGTGTCAGATCCATCCAATGATCACCTAAACTTTCTAAACTCATGCCAATTGCTTAATATATAAACTGATATATATACTTACTGATACATGTATATATATGTCAGTTAGCATGTTTGTTGTAGATATCTTCAAATGCATGATAGAATTTTGTGCAACTATCTTTGGAACCCCATATACAATCTGCATGCTCACTTATGGGGAGTAGGTAGAATAAAGAAGCTGAGACTGTTGCTAGAGAACTTGCATTCTAATCCAGCTTCTCATCCCAAATGACTAAAGATTTAGCCAAGGTATTGACCTTGACCTTGATTTCCTTTGCACAAAATAAAGGGATAATCTCAAAAGTTCTTCCTGGGTTTAAAATTGTATGACTTGAAGCATAATTTTATGTTTTATGTGATTGTAGCAAGTAATTTGTCATACCTTTGCTATGAAGCTCTGATTTATTTGATGATAAATGTTTCAGTGAGTACATAATCCCAAATGAAAGCATTAGGGAAATTTGAATTGTTTTTAAATGACCTGCTTTAGGAATCAGTTTTCAAGAAGGCATTATAGATGCTGCCTGTATTAGGACATCAAGGGACTCTACAAAGATCTAACAAGAAGTTTCTGGGCTAGAATGAGACATTTCTATAAAAGTTGTAGGCTCACAAGTCCCCATTTTTGATTGTTGATTAGCTGTCTGCCACGTCCTGCCTTTTCCTGAAAATAATTCATTACTGACTAGAAAACATGAGCAATAATTAAACAGATTAAACATGCCAATAATTTTAAGAAGCACTGTTCATTATCATGAGTCTATAACACTGGAGAGTCAACAATGAGTGAGACAAATGACTCACTCTGACTACAATATCACCAAATTAGAAATAATTTAATTATGTTGTCTGGTTTTATTTGTAAAAAGAAACAGGCTATATAAAACATATTTTATATATAAAGAATATAATATAAAAGGGGAAAATAAAAAATAGAAATCACAATTCCACCATTATTAACATTTTGGTATATTGTTCCAGTTATTTCTCTACATATATTTTAACTTTGTCAGAATCATTCTTAAAGTCAGACCTGAGCACTTCACAGGTAATTTAATATTCTTCTACACATCATTTGTAATAAATGCTTAGGATTTCCCTATTGTTGGAACATTTCTAACATTTCATTATTTCCAGATTGCCATTAGAAATGCTATAATGGGCATTTTTTACATAAATCTTTCTGATTATTAATGAATATAACTTGGGATGTATTCCTAGGAGTGTATTTGCTTAGTTGAAGAATATAATAATTAGGGTTCTTGAAAACTATTATTGAATTGCTTTCCAGATGGCTCTGCCTGCTTAGACTTCACCAGCAATGCACAGAAATTCACTAACCCCAAATCCCTGCCAGGATTAAGTGTATCTTGTGTTCCATAGTTACTGATACAATATGATTTTGCTGATGTTTTTGTTTTAGCTTGCATTTTAAATCATTAATGAATCAAACATTGTTTAAGCTTATTCATTAGCATTTTCTCCATTTATAAATTATTTGTATGGTCAGTTTTTTTTAATTGAATTTAATTACACCTCAGATATGTTAACTATACTTACCATCACACCATGAGAAAGACAGTGAAATATAGAACTTTTTATTAGAAAAAGTCATCTTAATGTTTAATTTTCTTGAAATTTAAAGCACTACTAAAGATGAGAATTTTTTATGTTATTAAAAATTGGAACACTAGTTTTTACAAAATTGATAAATATTGTTGCAGAGTTGGTAAATCATGATTTCCTTGAAACTTTTAATTTTTGGCTTAATTTCTTCAAGGTTTGTGGACAGTAATGGCCTCAGAGTAAGTTATTGCTAGAAAAAGAGGCTGACCTTTGGACCTTTCTGCTGCTTTGCACAGGGAAGTGCAATCTTACATCCATCCATCTTCCTAAGAAAATTAATGCAAAACTGATTTTCTTCTCACCCAAGTTCAACACACAATTCACCATTTCCAATGTAGCAAAAGAGTTCTTGCCGATGAGAAATGAAGTCTTGCTTCAGGGCACAAGCGCATGTGCAGGCCATATTGGCCAGTCCTCCTGAAGGAGGGGACTCTGGGGAACTTTAATTAACAAGCACATAAACTGAGGGGAGGGCCTGGGTGACCCATGGACAATAATGACCTTATTAACACTGCTGGTAAATTGAACTAACTATGCATGTTTTCAGCTTGGAGGGTCTTAGGGGCCCAAACAAGTAATGGGGTGGTCTTGCTGAAATACTTGCACTTCTAATGATACCAGGACTTCTAAAAACTCGTCAAAGGCACACAGGCCCACAGGACAGTGTTTGGTTTCTTCTAAGCATTGATACTCAAATTTATTATTTCACTTACTCCTACTTCACTTGCTTAATTTTTTCTATATACTTACTTAGCATTTGTGTTAAAAAATAGTCTAGGATTCTAGATATTTATTTTTGCACATAAAATGAAAATGTGGTCTTTGTACAGAGTTAAATGGCACAGAGACTACTATAAAAATCAGACCTCCAGGACACTCACACCCACCCAAACCCCAGAAGTAAATAACACCTAAAAAATGTCAGCCTTCATTCTCCCTGGCGGTAGTCTCAGCTCTTGCTCTGCACTCTTTCATGCTTATGTTCTTGTAGGACGTGGTATGTCAACTGTCCATACCTCAACTAGTGCAAATGGTCAAAATTGGGGATAATTTAGTGGCTGCATCTTTGGCACAGCTTAGCTAGTCTGGGGCTTCTTTTCTAAGAGCACTAATTCCATTCGTGGCAGCTCTAAGGCTGCACCTTCTAATACCATCACTTTGGATGCTAGAATTTCAACATAGGGATGTTGAGAGGACAAAAATATCCCTTCTATAGCAGCAACATAATCATAAGTTTTCTTACACATTGGTGACATTACCACCTTTTCCATCAAAAATGCTGCTAGTTCAAGAATTCATAAGTCCATTTATACCTACATTGAGCATCTGTGTTCTCTTAAAAACAAACACACAAGCTAGGAGGACAAGTGCCTATTTTGATCACTTCCAGAACCCCAACTCCATCCAGAAAGTGAGTTTCTCAGAAAAGCGGCAGAAAAGTAAAGCCCATGCCACCCAAGGGTGGGTGAAGTAGAAGAATGCCTGGAGAAGAGAGAGGGAAAAGCATCACTTGTCTATCTTCAGGCAGAATTAGTATAGGAATGGAAAAGTGAGCATTTTCATACATTGCTACTTAAAAAATTGCCATCAGAAATTGCATTAAAAGTTTAAGTGTATATAAATTTCTGATAAGAGATTCTATTTGGAAATATATTTTAAGGAAAAAATAATGGATCTGTGCAAAGATAGAACTATTTATATTAAATGAAAGATTGGTTAAATCATGATACATCCATGCAGTACAATACTTTGTAGGTAGTTAAAATTATTGTGGGAAGAACATTTAATGACAAGAAAAAATTTTGGTATATATCCTCAAGTCAAAATAAGTTGTAAAACATTGTAAGCAATCTGAGTATGACCAAATGTTTATGAATACATGTATACATATAGAAAAAGCCTGGAAATTGTATTTCCATTCATTCATATTTTCTGTACTTTTTGTGTTTTTTATAATTTTCTAGGACCATGCATTATTTTTGCAATAAGCAGAAAAACAATCAATATTAGTTTTTAAAAACACAAGGCTCGAGTTCATCTTATGTTCTCAAAAAGAAGCCCTTTTTAACAGGAACTAAGAAAAGAACACAAACTGTACATTCATTTCCTCAATCTTCACTTGATCTTAGCCAAAAGGCTGAGAAGTAAACCCCCAATCTTAATATAAGGGAAAATTAGTTTCATTAGTGAGAATACTTTATGCATTGTCAAAACAAATATAGAGGTCAAAAGAGAGAAAAATGTTTAGGTGAAATAACATCGATTAGTTTTTTTTTTAATTTTTATTTCCTTCATGTAGTTTTGCTGGTGACTGGAATACATTCAAATAAGGAAATGACAAAGAAGATTAAAAGGCCCAAAAACAGTAAGTAAAATCAGTGGTAAGCCTGTCTCCCATGTGAAGGGCTGATGCACTTGTTTTAGAGAATAGGGAAGGTGGTTTTAGTTTAGTTTGGGTTAGGTTGAGTTTTTGTCTCTATCTCAGTTGCTTTGCACTTCGATTAAATAGTGATGGGTCTTATTCATCACCTACCTCTTTTGAGAAAGCATTTGAGATAAAAGTCCTGATTTTAGAGTAAAAGGTATATGGTTCTGCAGCACTAAAAAAATTCAAATGCACATACAAAGACCAGGGAACACTAGTTCTCTATGGCTAAGCAGAAATAAGAATCTCCCTACCATTGAAATGTTGTCTCAATTTCCCACACCAGAAAATTCAGTTTGGCCAATGCAAAAGCCCAGCAAATCTGTCCACCTACCAGCATTCTCTGGAATCAGAAGGTAAATCTCATAGAAAAGTCCACAAGATTTCACACTCAGTGGAAAGAGGAAAAATAAATTTCACTTTGGGATGGTGTATCAATTAAGATTAGACAATAGAAAATAAAAAATAATTGTCACTTACATAAGACTAAAATTCACTTCTCTCTCCTATAAGTATAGTCAACCTGTGATTTTATGAAAACTCCAGAGATGCAGACATCTATCCTATAATTCTGCCACTCTCAACATGGCTCCCAACTCATTGTCCAAAATGGCCACCCATCCCCATTCATCATTCCATTCGGTAAGAATGGGTAAAGACTCTCTCTAAAGATATGTCAAGAAAGTTGATTATACTATGTCTACTTAAATACCATTGGTCAACAGTTGGGGAAAGTCAGAAATGTCTTGATTTCAAATATCCACATGGTTCACTAAAAGTAAGAGATTCTATAATTAGGAAAGAAGGGAAAAATGGATATTGGAAATAACTTCCAGAACAGTACACAGATAGAAATACCACACTCATGTATCAAGAGTACACTGGGGTATCTGCATTAAAATTTGTAGGCTTGATGGAGGCTTGAGTTAAGGTGTGTTTATAAAGGACCATAAAATAAAGGCTTTAGATATGGTCAATGTTCTGTGCTCTCCTCAACTGAAACTCCCTTTATACGCATTAAACTTAAATGCCCTGAAATCAGCAACATTAATAATTTGAAATGGAGAGATTTGCTTCACATAACCACTCTTTTTTTCTTCTGTACCTTTAAATTTTCCATGTGGGATTTCCTGTTGAAATGAGACTGAAAGGACAGCCACCCACAGTCTCCTAGGCTGAAATGCTAAAAAAGAATCAGCTGTTTATTTATTCCTGTCAGGACCCAGAGCCAAGAGGACTAGCTCCGGGCAGATGTGTGTTCAAAACAATGATTGGGTTAATATGGAGACAAATGCAAGTGCGAATTCCTTTGGGCTATTTCCAGTATCTTCATTAACAAGTATACAAAAATCTTGAAAAGTTCCATGATTACCATGACAACAGTATTCAGTGACTATGAAAGTCTGTGCTAAATGATCCAAGGCCAAACCCCTCTGAGAGACCTCAGATGGATTGAATTTCTGATATGCTAAATTCTAGTTTTATTCTCATAATCTCCCTAGTGATGCAGCACATTTGAACCAATAAATGCCTGAGGTTTTTTCTCTAATTAGAAACTCTGGCACAATCATTAAATAAAGCGGGGAGATAGAGAAAGATACAATGAAGGTAATAGGATATTCCCAAATCATGGAGATGTCTGATTCTTGATCTCAAGAGTATTTCTAAATCACAGTAGATAGCTTGAGGCCAAAGTAATTTTCATTTTTCCCATTCAACATTGTCTGCAGCTGGGGTAGGTGACCGATGGCAGGCAAGGAACAGCATTTTATCATTCAACAACTATTTATTAAGTGCCAGGTGTGATGTTAGGCACCCAGATAGACAGCAATCGAGACTCACACTTTGCCCTTAGGATTAAATCATATGTAAGTGCTAGGACAAAAGGTGTTAAAGGTACTCTGAGAGTATGAAGAAGAAACTGTGTATCTGGGAGAACTTCCTGGAGAAAACGACACACCAACACTGATAAAGCCAAATAGTGAGTAGTAGTACAAGCAGAAAAAATAAGTCATGCCCAAGACCTGAAGAGTAGAAAGAACTAAAAACTCATTCGATTTGGCTGAAATGTAGACTCCAAGTTGATGTTGAGAGGCATGATGGAGAGTGAGCAGGCACCAGATTGTGAAGGCTTTACTACTGTGTTTGGGAATCTGGACTTGATCACGAGGCAATGGGGAGTATCTCAGCACAGGTTATTTTGGTTGCAATTAACACAAATCCAAGCCCAATTTGCTTAAGTAGAAAGGCAGATTTGGGGCAGTTTGCAAAAACCAAGGCAGTAAGCACAGCCCGAATTGGTCTCCAGATGGAAAGGTCGCAAGAACCAACACCTCTGCTTCTCTCTGCACATCTGCCTCTATCTCTCTCTCTCTCTCCTGATCCCCAAATTCTGGGAGAGAGAATATGATTGTATCAACCTAGGCTGCCCAGAGTCCAGCCCTATGTGTATGGTTTTCAGGGGAAATAAAATAGCTGGGGTTGCATTAGAAAATGAAACAATCCTGACGACAACAATAACAGCAGCAAAAACCTGTGTACTGGGATATGAAGAGAGAAAACAGAATGAAATTGGTTAGTGAGTAAGCATTACAAGTTTACCTGCTTGTATAGGTAGCACAAAAGTGTTTATGAAGTCTGGAGAGAATGTCACACAAGTGTGTATTAGTAGAGTAGAAGATAAAGCCATTACAAATTCTCTTGTCTCCTCAAGAGAGGTCAATGGATGTGCTCTCTGCTTGTCTTCTGTGTACCTAGAGACCCCCTGAGCTCATTTTAGATGTAAGTATATAGGAATCCAAAGATCCAAGGAAGCATTGCACTGCAAAATCCAAAGGTTGGCCTTTTATCAACCTATAATGTCTTCAAGGAGACATCCTAAGAGTAGAGCAGGGAGCAGGGACCTCCGTCCTCATCACTAAACAAAGAATACCTGACCATCTTGCATGACTGAGACCTTAGAATCTATCCTATGAAAGGGTTTTGAACATAAGTGAAATTATAAAAGCAGGGTATTAAGGAAACCACTCTGGCCTCAATGTGAGAGCAGATTAGGTCAGTGGTTCCCAAAGGGTGGTTCTTGGAGCAGCAAATCAATATTTTATCCCATCTACCCCAGACCTCCTGAGTCAGAAACTATAGGGTTAACTCCAGCCATCTGTATTCCTCCAAGCTCTCCAAGTGATTCTGATGCTTCATCAAATTTGAGAACCTGTGGATAAGAGAGAGCGAACCAGTATTAGGGCTGCTCACAGATATGAATGTAAAATCATCTAGATAGGCCCTGTGTAGGGCCTTCTCACCTCTCTTGTGGAAGTCCTCAAATTTTACAAGTGTTTTTGCAAGACTGAAAGTCTTCACCCTCCAAAGGATTAGAGAGGTAAAATAAAAAGGAGGTAATTTGGTAGTGTTGTTTACTAGACAATTTCCTCTTATACATGAGGCATTTTCCTAGACTCTTGAAAATTGAGTGTCCGGGACAGATTGAAAACTCAGGTCTGGGTGAGGTTGGTTAGACCTTTAGTGTTTTTCCAATGACTTCCTCCCAAGCCAAATAAACAAAGGAATGAGGAGTTGAATGAGTAAGAGCTGACCAAATAGGAAATAAAGTAGAAGAGAAATGAAGAAGGTAGGAAATGGAGAAGAGCCTGAATATCTTCTTTTGATGGAGCTTGAGAACAGCACCATACAAGTGTATCTATTCTGTTTACTCACTGGGTTACTATCACTCTAGGTAGTTAGGTTTCCTCCCTACTTCCCATGCTTTTCCATTTCTTTTTCTTTTCATCCCCTTTTCCTTCTTTCCATTTCTTTACACTTCCTATGTCCTCAATGGCCTTGAGGATGTTGTACAACTCCACAGGGGGCCCTTTGGACCTAGAAGTAGTACTGAGAGATGTTGAAAACGATGTGGCATGTATGAAGGCTTTGCAAAGGACAGTGTGAAGATAGAGCAGTAGGACTGATTCTCAGAGATACTCTCCAAGTTCATAGGTGGCCATTCATTCTAAGCCAATACTTTGCTTTCATATGAACAGTTGTATTTGGTACAATTTTATTTCATCACACTTGGCTCATTACATTACTTTATTTTTCCAAATCAAATTAAGTCTGACTCCAAACTGTCAGTTGCCAGGGGCAGAGGGTGTGGAATTCAAATACCATATTTACAAGGGTTTCCTCCCTCCCTGCTCCAGCCCCTAGAAGCATTTGTGCAGTCTAGAAGATTCAGGGAGCTCTTCTGAGTGGCTTAGCATCCAAGTCCATGTTATCTCTGGAAGGTAGGCAGCTCCACAATTTCCTGGGCCATGGGATCTTGGCAAAGGTGAGGAAACCCTGTCCTTAAGACTCTGGCCCCAAGAGGCATTGTACTGGGTGTTGCTCTGAGATAGTGCTCTTCCAAGGCAGCTGCTAGGAAGTGGGGACCTTCCCATCCACTCCCATCTTCCCAGTCTTGCAACATCATTTTTCTCTCTTTAGGCTGAGAGAACTTAATCTCCTGAAACAGAAGGGATTTAGAGATTATAACTTCCAAAGCCCAAAGGGAGGGTTGTCATTAAGCAGCTCTGCCTTCCGTCCCTCAACTTTGAACTCCAGCAATAGAACACAAAAGCGTGGCTGTCTTGTTAGAATACTGAAATAAAAAATACAATGAGAATTAACATGTTAATGACTTAATAAATTAACCTACTGTATAGTCCAAAGTAAAGTTTACCTTACTGCACTAATGAGAATTTTATCACTTTATTTTTAGAGGTGACTTTTTCAAGACTCATTTTCCTGATATGTTTCAGAGCCATAAATCCAACCCTACCCAGAGGCACCTTAGTGGTAGGTCAACATAAACCTACTGAAGCAGTTCCTAACAAATTGCCAAAATGTGGCTGTATTTTTCTTGGTTGTTTAAGGCTACAAATAATGACAGAAGGGTTATGGATTTT